TGCTGAAACCACCTAGGAGGTGGGTGCCTTAGCAGCAATGATGTGCTACTGGTTCATGGTCAGCTTGTCCACCAAGACTCCCAAGGCCTTTTCTGCAAAGCTGCTCTCTGGCTAGCAGGTACCCTGAAAATTAATTTAATATTGTTTCTGTCTGAGTATTTGTTGTCTGCCTGCTTTTGGTATTTATGCAGCCATCCAATATACAATTCCTGTTCCACTTGGAATCAATAACAAAACTCCCATTTAGATTATTGGCTCCATATATAATTTCAAACACAGATGAAGAGACAGTGACTCAGAAAGCTGTGAAGCTTTTGTTGTTAGAAAGGGAACTGTTCCCTTGACATTTCACAGTGATGAGCTAACTGCAGCAAAAAGAATAATGTAAGTACACTTCAGGCTTCAAACAATCTTTCTACATTTATTACTAAAATATCTGTTTCTCAAATTAAATACTTGTAATATCTTTGTTATTTGCAGATTTTGGAGCTCCTTTATCAAGCAGCTAGTTTTTTGGTTTGATTTTCCAAATGGTAGAGTTTTTTTGAATAAGCTTTGGAAAACCTGTTATTTAAAATAATACTTAAAGTACAGGGCCATAGAATTATTAGGGCGGAGATTGTAAAAACTACCTAGGTAGCCTGTTCTGGTCTTTGATCACTTTGAGCGTCCTCGTGGTGAGAAAGACTTTCCTTGTCTCTGCATGATATTTCTTGTGTACCCACTTGTCTGTTGCCTTGCATCCTTCCACTATGCTCTTCAGAGGAGCATTTGGCTCTACCTCTTCTGTGTATTTCCAATAGGTCATTGAAGACAACAAGCAGGAAGGTCCTTCATTTACATTTTCTTCTTTAGATGGAATGAACCCAGTTCTCTCAGCTTCCACTCACATCATGGGCTCCATCATCTTGGTGGTCCTTCCCTGGACTTTCTCTAGTAATGCAATGTCTTTCTCTAACTGGGCAACCCAAAACTGGATGTAATACTCCAGATGTTGTCTTACAAGTACTAAATGAAGGGAAAGAAATCCAGATCCTGGTCGAATCCTTGACCAGGTTGCTACGTTTTGCTGAAACCACCTAGGAGGCCAGTGGGTGCCTTAGCAGCAATGATGTGCTACTGGTTCATGGTCAGCTTGTCCACCAAGACTCCCAAGGCCTTTTCTGCAAAGCTGCTCTCTGGCTAGCAGGTACCCTGTACTGTACCATTGTAACTGCATTATTCCATCCTATCCATCCTATTCCATCCTGTCATCCTGAGTGCCATTGTGCAGTGCATGAAGGATGCTCAGGTGATCAGGCCCAGCCAGCATGGGTTCATGAGGGGCAGGTCCTGCTTGACAAACCTGATCTCCTTCTATGACCAAGTGACCCGCTTGCTGGATGAAGGAAAGGCTGCGGATGTGGTGTTTACTTGGACTTTAGCAAGGCCTTTGATAGTCTCCCCCAGTATCCTCCTGGAGAAACTGGCTGCTCATGGCTCAGATGGGTATACTCTGCACTGGGTTAAAAACTGGCTGCAGGGCTGGGCCCAGAGAGTGGTGGTGAATGGAGTTAAATCCAGTTGGCGGCCGGTCACGAGTGGTGTCCCACAGGGCTCAGTACTGGGACCCGTTCTCTTTAATATCTTTATCAATGATCTGGACGAGGGGATCGAGTGCACCCTCAGTAAGTTCACAGGCAAAACCAAGCTGGGTGGCAGTGTCAACCTGCTGGAGGGTAGAGAGGCTCTGCAGAGGGATCTGGACAGGCTGGCTGGATGGGCCGAGACCAACAGGATGAGTTTCAATAAGGCCAAGTGCCGGGTCCTGCGCTTGGGTCACAACAACCCCAGGCAGCGCTCCAGGCTGGGGGCAGAGTGGCTGGAGCTGCCTGACAGAAAAGGACCTGGGGGTGTTGGTCGACTGTCGGCTGAACATGAGCCAGCAGTGTGCCCAGGTGGCCAAGAAGGCCAATGGTATCCTGGCCTGTATCAGGAACAGTGTGGTGAGTAGGGCCCGTGAGGTGATCGTCCCCCTGTACTCGGCACTGATGAGGCCTCACCTCAAGTACTGTGTCCAGTTTTGGGCCCTTTACCACAAAAAAAGACATTGAGGTGCTGGAGTGGGCCCAGAGAAGGGCAATGAAGCTGGTGAGGGGTCTGGAGAGTAAGTCTTATGAGGAGAGGCTGAGGGAGCTGGGGTTGTTTAGTCTGAAGAAGAGGAGGCTGAGGGGAGACCTTATGGCGCTCTATAACTACCTGAAGGGGGGGTGTAGAGAAGCGGGGGTCGGTCTTGTCTCCCAAGTCACAGGAGATAGGACAAGGGGAAATGGCCTCAAGTTGTGCCAGGGGAGGTTTAGATTGGATATTAGGAAACATTACTTCACAGAAAGGGTTATCCAGCATTGGGATAGGCTGCCCAGGGAAGTGTTTGAGGCACCATCCCTGGAGGTGTTCAAAAGACAGGTTGACATGGTCCTCAATAATATGGTTTAGTGTTTTGTTGTTGTTTTTTTTTTAATTGCTTATTTCTTACTTATTTTTTTGTCAGAGTTAGGTTGATGGTTGAACTAGATGATCTTTAAAGTCCCTTCCAACCTAGACGATTCTATGTGCAAGACTTTGTCTTTGATTTTTCATGGGGTTCATGCCAACCCATTTCTCAAGTCTGTCAGGAATTTGCCTTTCTAAATAGAAGCCTTACCCTCCATTGTGTCAGCTGTTCCCCCAGTTTAGTACGATCTGCAAACCTGTTGAGGTTGTATCCCACCCCCTCATCTAGGACATTGATGAAGATGCTTTGGCCTTGGTATCAATTCTGGAAGATGGCTGCTGGTAACTGGCCAGTGTATAAGAAATTAAAGCATCTTGACAATTTGTGAGTTGTGATGATGCATATACATTTCAGCTCAGGTTGCTATTACTTAGCATTTTATTAATCATCTTACATAACTGGTTTCCAGTTTTATGGTACAGTGTTTGAAAAAGCATGATTGATGGTGTATCAAAAATTGCATGTATTCCATTGAGTCTGTGTGAAAGTATTGGTTCCTAATTGCATAGCATCCAAAAAGTCTTTAAAGTTGTCTTTGGTTTTCAACGTGAAGGCTGGAGAAACTAAGGTAGCATGCCACTGTCACAGGCCGGCCTTTGGGCTCTTACCATTGGTAGTGTTGTTTTGGTGATTTTGTTCATTTCATTTTTTCCCTTTGTTTCTTGTTAGAAACCCTGAAAAGATTTCTCAGAAAGCTTTCATTCTGCTTCTCACATACTTGGTCATTTTCTTCTGGCACCATTTAAATTGTCCCATGGCAGTTTTCATATTAATAAAAGACAGATTTAACTAACTCTAGGTTTAATTCACTTTCTACTATTTGCTGCAGGCTCTTATTTATCCCTAGTGTAAACACTCCCTTATAAAGATGAGCCCTAGGAGTTCCCCTTCACCAAATGCTGGCAGGTCACGCTCTTGCTTTTTGTAACAGCTAGTTTTGCTCTTCTCCATTTCATGCTGTTTTTTCACAGCTTTGGTTGGTTGCCTGTATTGTCCTTCGCCACATCTTCATTTAGAAGATGCCAGCGCTATTAAGAGCAAGCTGTAGCTTCTGCACCCTTTCCAGTTTCATCTAGCTTTAAGAGGTTTACAAAACCAGATTATGCTCCTGGGTGCTTTAAAATGTGAAAATAAGCATTCCTTCCTATCCTACTCTGACCTTGTACCTTGACAAAAAAAAGCACAGTAAAAGTGGTAATTTTATGGGGTGGGACATAGTCAAAGAAAGGTTTACCTGACTACAACACTTTGAGGCATATACAGTCTTATTTTTCTTCTTACTTCAACTGGTATGAGTGAGGAATAACTAGAAATATCAAGGTAATTATTTAACTGTAAAGTTGAGGTAAGACAAGAATCTGGCCCTTGCTATTTAGAGTTTTAAATATGACTGCTGGTACGCAGTGTTGCTAGAAGAACGCGCTTCCTTACTGGTAAACAAAAAAGAGTACAAGCTCCTAAAGCATCTTCTCCTCAGAAAACTCTATGTCCAAAGAATGTCTTTAAATTTAACCAAATTATGTTTTCTTATAGAAAAAAGATAAATGAATTAAATTTTTATAGTTAAAGACTGGTGAAAGAAAATACTTAAGTTTTTTTTAGGACTGAAAGAGGTGACCTGAGCCATTAGCACATATATTTCAGTTGATTATTGTTTTTGACATTTACCATGTGGTGGTTATGATACTAATCTGCTTGGTGCATTGAAGATCTTTGATGAAAAATTCAATTTATGGTCTCTCAGATGGGAGGCTAAAACTCAGCTAAATTTCAGCTCTACAGTTTCAGCTGTAAAAAATAAAATTGCACAGTAACTGTTTTTTTCTGTATCATTTTCAGATTCAGCCTTCCTCACCCCCCCAAACTAAGGCTTATAAACTTACATTTCGTTTGCACTATAAGCCTTAATAAAACATTCTAGATTTAATTAATTTTAAAGTGACTTATCTTTTGGAACCTTTGAATTGCTTTTAAAGACTTTAGCTTATGCTAGCTCTTTTTCTAACTTCTGTTTTACCTGTTATTTGCACTGAATTGCTGTCATACATCAGAACTATTTATCTCTTCAGATTGCCATTTAATTTCCTACAAACAGCTGCTTGCTTTAGCTGTGCTAGTTTTCTGAAATTGAATATAATTTCAGTATTTTAATATGAGATTTGTTTGAAATATTGAATACTCAGTTGACCATCATGCATTTCAAGAGCACAGATCTTCACCATATGATTATGATCACTTCTCTAAAGGTAATAACACTCTAAGTTTCTGTAAAACATGATGAAATTCAAATGCAAATTGAAACTAAAATATCCAACTGTAGTCTTATGTCATGTATATGTATTCCTAGAAGACAGAAATATGCCTAGGTCTTAGCAGTTCAGTTCTGCCCTTTTGCTACTTTATGATGCATTTTCTTCTTCCTTTAAGGAATAAATATATTTAAAACCTTTTTTTTTTTTCTTTATAGAGCCAGTATTGTGCAGAAGCGCATAATTTATTTTCAAGATGAGGGTTCTCTCACCAAAAAAATTTGTGAACAAGGTAAGGTAAAGTGACATATCTTTCTGACCCCCTTGTCCTGTTCCACATATTTATCTTAAAAAATTATATCAAAATAAAATTTTGAGGCCTTGAACAGTTTCATCCAGGTTCACAGGTACAAATCCTGGATCCTGGGCTGCATCAAAAGTATGGCCAGCAGGCTGAGGTAGGTGATTCTGCCCCTCTACTCCACTCTCTTGAGACCCCACTTGGAGTAGTGCACCCAGCTTGGGGGCCCCCAACATAAGAAGGACATGAACTAGTGTACCCAGCTCGGGGGCCCCCAACATAAGAGGGACATGAACTTGTTGGAGTGAGTCCAGAGGAGGGCCACAAAGATGATCAGAGGGCTGGAGCACCACTCCTATGAGGACAGGCTGAGAGAGTTGAGGTTGTTCAGCTTGGAGAAGAGAAGGCTCCAGGGAGACCTTATGACGACCTTCCAGTACCTACAGGGGGCCTACAGGAGAGATGGGAGGGACTCTTTATCAGGGAGTGTAGCGATAGGATCAGGGGTAAGAGTTTTAAACTGGAGGAGGTTAGATTTAGATTAGATACTAGGTAGGAATTCTTTACTCTGAGGGTGGTGAAGCACTGACACAGGTTACCAGAGTAGTTGTGGATTCCCCATCCCTGGAGGTGTTCAGGACAGGTTGGATGGGGCTTTGAGCAACCTGGTCTAGTGGGAAGGGAGTTGGAACTAGATAATCTTTAAGGTCCCTTCCAATCCAAGCTATCCTATGATTCTATGAAATTTGGGTTCTTCAGTTATGTTCTGCCTTATCACATACACTGTTCCTTAAACAATTTTCCTTGCCTTCCCCTAAATGTGATACTTGCAACTTTTTACCTGGTCTTTGTATGAAACCCATTTGTCTCCAGGGCATATAGTTAATTGAATCCTAGGCTATTTTATCCTTTCCTAAACCTAAGCATTGAAGTTGGTTATTGCATCCCAGTGGAGAATTTAGGTGCATTGGCTGTTGAGAAGTTCCAGGCCTGATGTGTTTTGAGATTTGTCCATATCAGATGAGAACCAGAAACAAACTGGTTTTGAATCTGAAGACTACTGAAATAGCAATGCCTTCATATTTTAAAATGTACATTTAATTCATTACATTTGCTTATAAATGCGATGCAGGTATTTCAGGGTTCTGGTTTAGTCTAACGTAGCCCCACTTAAAAATAAATGAAAAAATATATTTAACTCAAATTTATTTACTGGAGTAGTTATTATGGCAACTTTGCTGTCATCTGTTGATTTTGAGTTGTAACCATTTCAGTACTTTGCTGCTTTTTCAGATTCAGCCTCAGAAGGTGTGACCGACAAACCCATTTTAGATTGTTGTGCCTGTGGAACTGCCAAATACAGGCTAACTTTTTATGGAAACTGGTCAGAAAAAACACATCCCAAAGATTTTCCACGTGAGTATCATTCTTTTACTATTGTTGTACCATATAGGGACCATGAAAGGAGTTGGAGCTTGTTACATGACACATTACTTATTTACAGCTCAGCAGTGTAAATTATGATGTATATGGAATACTGCTAATCTTCATTATTGAAGATTTATGGATCTTTCTGTGAGTGCTATACATTACAAAAAACATCTGTTGATTTGCCTGACATTTTGAACTGAGGTGCATATGAGATCACATTTTTAAGATTTCTTTGCAATGAGAAAGGTTACTTTTTATTTTATTTTATTTTAAGTGAAAGCTTTACTGCCTTATAATGTGCATCTAGGAAATGAGATTTTAAGAAAAAGGCCACAAAGGATGGGCAACACACTAATATTTTGATTTTACAACCATGCCATTCTAGCCAATATGTTTTCCTTCAGAGTCTTTTGAGAGATTCCAACTAGTTTTCATGAGCCCTGAATCTTGCTGCCTAAGGGTGTTAATTAGATATAGAGACCTTAGAATATTCTGTCTTCTTTGTCTTTGTTGGTTGAATAGACAGATAAAATACACGTTCTGAGCTTTGCCTGTCTGTTTCTGTTTTTAAAGTTTCTGAACTGCGGAATCAGTATTCTGGTTGCAATAACCCAACTAACCGTAACGAGCTAAAGTTACAAAAATGTGTATTATACATTTGTTCTTTCATTACTGAATGCTCAGTCTGTGGCAATAAAGGCTAGGAAATGATTTGAGAACGTGAATCACATTTACTGGTCTTGAAACTTTGTTATGTTTTCTGTGGCTGATGTTTGTTATATAGATTCTATATTTCAATTTTTATTATTATTATTGTCACATTGTCAGAGTATCATCATATAACTCAAATACGGTTTGTGTGTCAATAAGCTCATAGTTTTAACAGCCTGAGCAATATTGCTTATGTCGAGTCTCATACATTTTAAGTTGAATGTAGCATTGTTCAGATATTATTTGTCAGCTGAATACACAGGAAATAAAATGAGCCAAACCCAATAATTGCAGGAATGCTCTGAGAGGCTATTGGATGATTTATATATCTGCTGAGTGTGACACTTTATATGCATTATTTGTATGGATTCAGCTGGTGGTTAGACATAGGGCATGAGAAAATGATTGAAAACTATGAAATGACTGCGATTTAATGATGTAATATTGGGGATAAGTGGCCTTTTCTTTTAAATCCAAATCAGTGAACACATGAGGAATATGAGTGTGAAAGTAAGCAAGTTGCAGTAGTTTGCCATAATAGTGGACTCTCTAGACTGCTGTCTCTTCCCAGTTACGAAGTGGTGAATTCTATTAACATAATGAAAGCTAGTCATCAACAATATTCTTTAAAATGTTGCACTAGTGCAGTACTTACGTTTAAATACAATGCTATTTATGGTGGATTGTGGTAAATCACTCATTATGTGCCAAGACATCACAGAAAAAAATCCTCTCTACTCTTATGCCATTAGAATGGCTGAAATAGAAAGCAGACCATAAAACTTACATTTTTTTGTCTATTCTTTAACTTACCTTCTGATTTGCTTTAAAAATCCCTAAGTAATATGTACTGTGTTGCTTAGCTTTCTCGTCTATTCTTTAACTTATCTTCTGATTTGCTTTAGAAATCCCTGAGTAATATGTACTGTGTTGCTTAGCTTTCTCCAAAAAACTGCTTTTGCCAAATAAAGTATTTTCTTTTGCTATTAAACAGGAATTTTTCTGGAAGTTACAGTGCAAAACTTTTAATTCTGGGAAATTATTTTGAGTCTTTCACAGATTCCATGGATTATGAATAATTTCACATTACAGTCAGAAATATTTGTATTTGCATATGCCCTGTGGCTTAAAAGCATTTATTGTCTCTGGGTATCACCCATATATGGTAACAGAAATATATATGCCCTCCATCGTGATTTGATATGGCACATCTATGAAATATGTTGGAGGATACATTCTCACGTTCTGGTGCCACCTTGATCTTTATGCAAAAATACACATATAAGTGTGTAAATTGAGAAACTACTCATACAAAAGGAAGTGAAATAACACCATTGGAAAGTTGTCAGTATTCTGTTTGCTGTTTTAAGAATTGGATACTGACATCGGACTGGTGATGCGAAATAGTTTCAGCCTTGTACTGCTCAAATTATTTCATGTAGACAAGTTTCTTTGACGTTTAGAGGAAAAGGCTTAAGAAGCTATATTGAGCTGTCTCTTGGTTCTCAACAAAAATGGGAGGTTCAAGGTGAGGAGTGAAACATTTGCAAAAGTTGCACAGATTTTGTAAAAGGTTTATAGTAGATGCAGTATACTTCCAACAGCTTATTTGGGCAAGTAGGTGGGCCAGTTGCTTTCTCTCCAGAGCCAGTATCTTTAGGGAGAGGCGTTTAGTGGAAGAAGCTGGGCTCTGGTTGCAAAGACATCAGAGGTTCTTGATCTGTTTAGGATAGAGAGTGTGAAAAGCTTTGGAAAACATGGAACAATTCATTGTCCATTTTACTAAAGATTTAAAGACACTCTGGTTTCTCTCTGTAGTGATACATTTTTCTTTTGTAGGGACTATGTGGAACCTTCTCTTTCAGTAAGTTTCATTAAGTGTCACTTACTGTGTTTCAGGGAAAGCTGCTGTCTGTGACTTGTGAGATAGACCTGTGTGCTAGGAAGAAAGAATGGGAAAAACTGGTGGTCCCATCACTGGAAATAAATTGACAGTATCTCTCTGTGGTTTGACAAGCTGCCAGTGTCCATTTAAGGAACAATAAATAGATCTTAGATCAAGAAATCATCTTCTGACACTGTAGTCTCTTCATGGTGGGGACGAGTTTTAGTTTTGTTTTTCCTCCATTTGGGCTCAATTACTGATTAGCTGTAATGGGCTCTGAAAACATCAAATCTACTATAATTCAGAGCCTAGTAGGTGTATTTTGGTCCAAGTGTAGCACTAGGGAAACTATGGAGGCTTTGTTCGCTGTGTTGCTAGGCTATCTCCTCATCTGTCTACTCGCTACATTTTTCTAGCTTTTTACCCCTACTGTTGGAGTTAATTTTTTTATTTCTAATCTATTTTCTGTTCTTCTGTGACTAGGTTCCTGCATCTGACTTTACCTATTCAATTCTCTACACTGTCTTTTTCAATTTTGATGTCGCACCTTTCATATATTAAATTTGCATTCCTGTTGTTTACTTCATTATTTTTCATTCATTTATTCTATTTTTCAGCTGGTTTCACTGCTACTCTGTACCTTTTGCATTGCAAAGAAAAATGTTGAATATTGTCTTCTTCCATCATTCTGTCTCCCTCATCTCCTACAGTCTTTGCACTGTTACCAGACTGTCTGCTTATGTGAGCGGTTAATTTTCTCATTCTTTTCCTTTAAGCTCATATCTTTGCAGAGTGTTATTTGACATGTAAGTGAATTCATTTTTACTTGCAGTACTGTGGGACTTCTGTGACTCCTTATTTCTGCTAGATTCTCTTTGCAATTCCATCAGACTTCTCTAACATTTTCCTTTTAAACTTTTACATTTTATTTTCCTTTTCCCATTCAACAAGATAAGAAACAGGAACGGGAATCCTTTTACAAACTGCCAGGGGCAGTTTCTGACTGTGAGCCACATATAGCTTGGTTCTGGATAATGTTTGGGCACAAAGCTATAAACAAAAATCTATAGCATTTAATGATAGTGTAATCATGCTTAGATCTGCCTTTTGCTGGTAATCTGCTGTCACCACTCAAATACAAATCTAGTGGACTGTTAGAATCCAGTATCTCTTGGTAAGGAAATTAATTGCTGTTAAATCTTTGAGTGACCACTGAAGTCTTCCCTTGCAGGTTTCATCCTTAAAAATATTCTACAACCTAAAATAAAAGTATTCTTAAACTTCCTGAAGAAGTGAAGTCTTTGGTAAAGAAAAAAATATACTAAAACTATCTGGAGGGGCTGCTTGATAAGCTGAGAAACAATCTTACTGTTTCTGCCTGTTGTTATATCCAATAATTAGTCTTAAGATATGGTGTATTGATGTAATGAGAACTGTCAGCGTGCAACACATGCAAAATCTTGGTACTGGTGAAGACTGGGCACTAAAACCTTTCACTTTAATAAAAAATCAGGAATTATGTTATATTGAGTCTTTGTTGTTGATGTTTTTGTTTGGTTTCTTTTGCCCCCTGAAAGGACGCACCAACCACTGGTCCGCCATCATTGGAAGTTCTCACTCAAAGAACTACATCCTTTGGGAGTATGGAGGATATGCTAGTGAAGGCGTCAAACAAGTCGCAGAGTTGGGGTCCCCAGTAAAGATGGAAGAAGAAATTCGACAGCAGGTAGGTGTAATTTAGTGCATACTTTGAAAAATGCATCCTACCTTGGCTTGTGAATGATTTGTCATTGACAATGTGAATGTCATTTTGCTGGCTAATTTTCAATTAAGCAGATTAGGAAAGTAGGTGGAATTTAGTGCATACTTTGAAAAATGCGTCCTACCTTGGCCTGTGAATGATTTGTCATTGACAATGTCTGTGAATGTCATTTTACTGGCTAATTTTCAATTAAGCAGATTAGGAGATCTGCCTGTCTTTCTAGACTCATTCTTACTCTGGCAAAAGTTTTCATCTGTGGAAGGACAAGTAAGTGGCAGTATTCTGAACTTAGAAAAATCTATGTGTCATGCAAGGCATAAATCAGAGGTAGAAAAGTAAAATTAATGTTTCCAGGCTTAATCATGAAGACAATTAGAGTTTGGTAAAGGAATGCCATGCTGCAAGCAGTATCCTTCATTCCATTTTGAAGTGATGATTTTTAGTTTATAGTATGCAGTAGTTTGTGGGGATTTTTTTCTGGTAAGCACTGTATTTGCAATTTTCTGCAGATTCATTCAAGTTAGAAATGCTCTTACAGGAGACAGAGGTGATTTTTGTTCCTGAGCAGGAAAGCTTTACACAACTGCACTAATAAAATTTCATGAATCATGATTATGGTTTAAGGGCAAAAGAGCCTTTACAGTGTATCATCTTATAGGGGATAGATGCAGCTGAACAGAAATCAATCTTTCAAATAGTTTATAGTTGATTTTCATTTTGTTACATTAGGTAACAAGCAATGAAATAAAATACACAAGGACATGATGATTATTATTAGGACATCAACTTCCATGAAATTTAAGGACCCACTGGAAACTGAACTCAGTTATAAGACAGAAAGAATGTAAATATTATAACACATAATGGAGCTATACATACAATTCAGCAAGAAAAGTTAAAGGCAGAAAAGTTAACAACAGATCTGGTTTACAGGAGTCTCTGTCTGACTCTGCTTTCCAGACTTTCTCCCCAAATTGATAAAGTGATACAGGTGAGCAGGAGGCCTAGTCCCAGGCAGAATAGTCCGATGGGATGGCAGGGACACACTGCGAGTCAGCAGAATGGGAGCCAAAGGGCTTGTTTTGGCATTTCATGTGCCTGCTTTGCTATGCCAGCCTTCAGCGTGCCGTGAGATTAATATTTAATTGACATACAGTGTTTCTAAAGCTGCCAAATGTACTGAAAATTAAATATTTCAAAACAGCTGGAATTTTATAGAAGTATTTGTGTTTCAATCATTCAATGCCCGTTCTTTCCATAAGGTACAAATTTAAAAAAAAAAAAAATCAAAATAAATGCCGTGAGAATGGAAAATAATACTTCACACTTCAGTAATTAGCAAAGGTGTCTTTCCCTGTTAATCATTATTCATCTATCACAAGCATGCTTTCTTTAATTATGTGGTTTTCAGAGAAAATAACCTATTCCTTATTTTGAACACATGTAAAAACCCCTCTGTACCTACAATCATTTTTGTGGATCGGAAATATAGGAAATATATTTGTTAGTTCTGAATATGAAGTCAGCAAAACTAAAAGCAGTAATTAGTATGACACTGTTGATTAGTCATATTCACTTTTGGTAACTGCTGTGTGTTAGAGACAGTATTTCAAGGCCTCCTAGATAACACTTAGATTATATACAGAATTATACAGAGAGATACAAAAAAAGATTCATTTACATTTATAGTAATAGTGTAGAACAACCTCAAAGACTGTTTTGCCCACAAGAAAACTTACATAGCAAAAGGCTTTACATACCAAATTTCATTTGTGGTTTTGTGGTGCTGAAGTGTATATAATCACAGTACAAGAACAGCTGGTGGATTTGACAAGAAACTCCCAAACCCAAGAAAAATAGAATAAAAACATCTTATAATTTAATATTATCAATGGATATGTAAGGACTACGAAAGGGAAAAACAAGTTTAATATGGAGGGGAAATGTGATGGTGGGTTTGTTATTCTCTTTAAATAATAGAGCTTTGGTGTACCTGGGAATACAAAGGAGCCCTTGATCCTAGAGAACTTCCCTTTGCATCTTTTTTGAGAAGTGGCTATATTTTACCCTAGTAATACTATATACACCCAGACGTGTTAAAATTACAGCAGAATATTCCATATGTGACATATAATTTATCATTTTTGCTACTTACTTGGGAAATCAAGATTTTCTCAAGTAGATCCACGTGAAATAAAGAAAATCATCTTAATTAGTATCTTTGTACTAAAAAAAAAAAGATAATTTCTTTATACAGTCTTCACAAATACTTTATAAATAAGGGTTTGGGGCATTTGAGTTGTAACTACACAAAGATTAGGTCTGGTCCAGAAGCAGCAGGAGCATGGAGAGAGTATGGGATGAAGGACAAGTGGAGGTGCAGTTGTGAAAGATTGTAGCAAGCATTGGTGGAAGAGGCAGTGAATTTGAATGGACTATGGAAAAAAGTTAAAAACATGACTCTGCTTTCCAAATTCTGGGTTCTTTGTCGTTATGTGCCATGTGTTTGCAAAAAGAAGATGCATTTATACTCTGGATTCAGGTAAGAGGTGATTATGACTTTTGAAGTACATAAAATAGCTAATAGTTTGATTGTGTCAAACCTTCAATAATTCCCCTGATTCTCCCGGTTCAGTCTAATCTGAGCAATTAATTGGTGTTATAACTGGATAGTACCTAGAACAGTGCAGCATATCAACAAATGCCATAACATTTTAATTGAGTTTAGTTGACTTTTTGTTTCTTTTTAACATGTGTTTAAGATGTGCTAATATTTTTGAGAGATACTGAGATAAAGTTCTACAACAAAGAGAGCAGTATTGTCAGGAGCTGATTTGCCGACATTTCATTCAGGCTTTTAGTTTTGTTTTCTTATTGCACTTTCTCCCTTGCAATATCAATTACAATTTGCTAACATTGCTCCTTCCCTACCCTTCCCAGTCTAGCTCCATTTCCCCCTTTTCCATTTCTTATTCTCCCTTTATTTCCCCTATCTGTTGCCCTCCCAGCCTGCTGTTGGGGTGGTGGGAGGATGCAATTAAAATGACTCTTCCAAGCAGCTTTGAGCTTTCTGAACGCACAAGAAAGGCAACTTCTGTGCTTAATTCAGGATGCATTTCCCCCTTTTCCATTTCTTATTCTCCCTTTATTTCCCCTATCTGTTGCCCTCCCAGCCTGCTGTTGGGGTGGTGGGAGGATGCAATTAAAATGACTCTTCCAAGCAGCTTTGAGCTTTCTGAACGCACAAGAAAGGCAACTTCTGTGCTTAATTCTGGTGTCTGGACCCAGCCCTCTGTGCAGCAGTGCAGGGCTGGTGCCATAGCCCCAGCGCGTAATGCACTTCTTACAAGGCCGGACTTGGGGTTGGGAATCTGCTGTGTTTCAAGTGGAGTTTCTTAGGTCAATACATAGACACGTATTTATGTAACTGGCATCTGTGCCATTGATATTATCTAAGGTTTTATTAAGAAAGGAAAAAATCTATCCATTAATTTTTGTGAATTATTACTAAAAATTTACCATCTGTGTCTGAAACAAAGAAAAAAAGGCTTTCTTTAAACAGCTTTGTTAAGAAGTGTCCTAACAATTATGTGCCATTAACTAAAGATTCTCAAGCGTGAACATTTCTGCTCCCCATTTGACAGACTGCTGAATCATCAGCAGCTTTTCTTCTTGACTGAGCACCTTCGAATGCTCTGATTTGTGTTGTTACGGTAAAGAGCTTGTGTGATATTTTTGCATGGATGGTCCTGGGTACTCTAAACTTGCTTTGTAGTTTGTTTATCTGGAAGAACTTAAAGGAACTAATCAGCCTTTTTGTTAAACATTTCCTGGCAGCCTGGAAGGAAAGCCATGGCACATAAGAGTTTTAGTAAAACAATCTGTCAAGGGGTTGATGTCTACAATAGGATAATTCATGCGTTATACTTCAGGAGTTATAAATGAACAAACAGAGGATGGAAAAGGAATTATGTGAGCAAAAGAATGTTCGCTGACTTTATGTGTCTCTGAAATATATTCACTCTTTCACTTTGTTTTCAGAAAGCCTAATTTGTCCAGAACTTGTTTGATAAACTGCCTAAACAGTAACAAATACAGAATTCGAAAGGGGAATTCTGCATCCATATTGTGACTGCTGTGTTTAAACAAACAAACAAGATGGTTAAAACATGAATCAAAAAGAATCAAGTGTAATGCTAAATGTCATAGCCTAGGCAGATGAAAGAAGCTTGAAGTAAAGACATAGTCATTCCTCTTTGATTTAAATGTCTCGCACTTCAAGATAACTCATTTGATTTTGTCTAATTAGAATAAATACTAAGTCATTTTGCCACCAATATTTTTTAAAACCAGGATAAGTAAGATGGTGTACCTTGTGGCTATCACTGGGAAATGCAATTTGTACTCTCTACTTATTCCCTGTAGACACATAGATGACATTCTTACAGGTTTGGTTTAATGCTCTCTGAAATGTCAGTGAGTGGAATGACTTTTTTCCATTGCCTTCAGTGGCCTCAGCTTAGAGCTGACTATGCCTCCAGACCTTTGAGAAGAGCAAGTTCTGCTTTCCAGTAAGATGCTTGTAAATTTTTTGACACGTGATAAGTTATGTGAAGATAATTTCTTAATTGAAGATGAAATCTGAAATATCTGAAACTTTTTACAAAATAAAATAGGTCATTATTATGACTTTATCCAAACGTTTATTTTTACAAAATAGTTCTACTTTGGATTTTTAAAAAATATATCCACATAATAAAAAAGAAAAGGGAGTAAAAATTAAAGCAATGTCACTGTTGGATTGATCCTGATTGATTGGGTATTTTGGGGGTTTTTTTTTGAGATATGTAATTTTAGTCACAGAATCAGAATCACAGAATTTTAGGGGTTGGAAGGGACCTTTGGAGATCATCTAGTCCAACCCCCCTGCCAAAGCAGTATTTCAGTTGAATTGTTACCATTTC